AGGCATATAATAACCATTTAAAGTAGCTTAAATGAACGACTACTGGATACATTAATTCTGTACGTACCCAGCAACCCTTGAATAATGTATTCTACCATCATGAACAGCTGACTGCATGTGAAACCTTCATCTTCCTTTTTTTTGGCCTTTTTTAGCCAAAATTTTCCTTATAGCACAAAGCAGGTAAGTTCTTAGTTTTGTTTGTGTGTTTGCTTTGTGTTGTGTTATTTTAGGAAAGTCTTCTCTAAACATTTTTTTTTCAGTGCCTCAATTTTCTGACCTCTTTACCACCACCTGACTTTCTGGAGGCCATTAACCATTCTAATTTATGTCAAAGGGTATTTTCCTCCAGGAGGTGGAGGGGGGAGACTTGTGGATGCAGAAGGGTCCCTCATATTTTGTCCTTTCATTTAAAGAAATTTCTAGAGCATGCCGGCTTATAAAACTAGGCAATCAACCTTCTAGAACAAACCCCCCCCAGATGAATTTCACGCGGAATAAAAGGAATTGATAATGAGCCAGAAAGAATCATGTTGATAAAACTGTCCCGTATCTAAATGGGAGATTAGATTCCTGTTTGACCTGGCTTTCTAGCCCTTTCTTTAATCACAGCATACTTGATATTCTCTTCCTTGAATGAACTCATTTTCATTGTGGCTTTGGTCAGAAGATTAAAGAATCGCTAACTAATTGTTCCAAGTAAGCAGAGCAATTCTCTGGGCCTGGGATCAGCTCCCCGCCGCGGTGGCCAGGCCTTCCATCATAGACACTTCAAGCCCGACCTCTGCAGGTTGCTAACTGAAATGCACACCGCCTGATCGGACTAGGGTCTTTCTTTTTTAAAACCCCACCAGGTTCTGAAAATGCGAACATTCATACTAAGTGTAACAGGGAGACTGATCATACGTTGGCTTTCCCTTTCGTTTCGTAAGTTGATTTTTGGAAGTAGCCACCATCTGACTGAAAAACATTTATATTTCATTTGCAAAATACTTTGGTCATGGCTAACCATGGATTCTTTTTGCCTACGGAGAAAAATCCAAATGATTTGGATGAACTGGGGTCCTCAGAGCATGCGGGTTAAAAAATGTCCTGATCAGCCCCACCTTCTTCTAATCAAACAAATCACTCTTTGTCCAGTGACCCAATCCCCCCCTTTCACGAAACACCGCGCAGAGCAGGTTGCCATAGCTACCTTGGATGTCGATTTACCACACAAGGGATCAAAGCCAGGAGACATCCACATACACACTTGGCCTTAAAACTCGCTGGAATGTCTGCGAATAACATGTACCCACCAATTAAAGGATTTGCCCACAGCCTACGCGGTCCACAGCCAAGCAAACTACAAATGCATGTCATAACGAATGGCAAGGAAAAGTCAACCTGAATGTTTCAAAACGACCAATAAGAATCTTTAATCTGAAAACAAGTCTTAGGATTCTAACATTCCCTGTAAAGGAGAGATAGCCGGGAAGGCAGGAACATCTCAACGGGGTGTTGAAGACACGGGACCTCCAAACCAACCTCCAAAACCACATGCAAAAACTTGAAACAGCTGTTGAAAGGGAACATTTCTCAGATACATATTTTAAATTCCGGTTAGTTACAGTATCCTTCTATCTCCGTGTTGGGACAAATGAGAACAGAAATGCCTTTTCAACTTTTATAGGCTTGACTTTCAAATGAAGGAAACCATAAAACATACTTGGGACGCTACGTGATGCTCACAGAGCCGTAAGAAAAAAGGATGCTGTAGGCGAGTCCCGTTTTAAGCTCCAGCACCTCGAATTCCAAGCCCCATGCGCCCCGGTAGCCTGCCTTTCGCAGTGGGTAGGACTCATCCTCAGAACCACTCCTAATCGGCTACACATCTTCATACTTCACCGTTCTCTACCTTCACCTCCCCATTTGTTCAATGAGGATCAAACTGCGGCCTCGTTCTCTCCTGGGGATGTGACAGAGAATAAATAGATCATGTTGGGAAAGGACTTTCTAATCCTCAAAGGAAAGATGAATACAAAGATGTTCATTACTAAACCAGATGTCCTTGGGCATTTTTAATTCCAATCTGAAGAATGCACAACAGGCCAGTCGCAGCTTCTCCGTAACAGCACGGTAACAGCACCAGGCCAAGAACCGAGCAGGTGCCGACCGCACAGGCTAGCGACCTCCTGCTTCCCCTTCACGTTCTAGGGCAAAAGGCGGTGATCTGCTTTAGCCCACCCGAGATCACAGTGTGTGCCTTCTTCTCTTGGAGTGCTTCAGAAAGTCATCAGGATATCAAAAACGCAAGCTAGGTCTGGTGGGCAGTTTTGTCTGGAGGAGGGGATTTTTTCCTTTCTAGCTCCAGAAAGAATCATCTGCTCTCCTCTCGTGCAGGGACAATGAGCGGGGCGCTGTGTGGGGGGGGAGGAGAGCTGCAGAACGGAACACGCCAACCTGTTGTTTCTAGCTGGGGCCGCCACAACAGGTGGCCATGCCTTTCCTCTCGCCTGGGAACACAGCAAATTCCTTCTCAAGGAAGTTTCAGGAAAGTTTCCCATTTAGGATCAGAGTGCGGAGAAAGATTGGCACACTCTTTGAAATTACTTCCTGATAAAGGCCAATCAGGTTTACGCTTTTCTTTTGTTCTCACGCAGCGTGACCTTAGGAACCCTCAAATAATATTAACCTCCTATGCGTTTTTTTTTTTCCTGCCACCCTGGCAGAAAGCCAAACCGTTCTGAATCTCATCTCCAGGCAGGCAGCTTTCTCATTCTGCTGGCGACTCCCGGCTCCCTGCTATACCTAGGACGTGGCAAGGGTCTCCGCGCTGCCACACCATTGTTCCACACTGTGCAGCCCCGGGGACGGGTCACTCCTCAGCGAAGAGACTGGATTTCACTGCCGAGCTGATGACACACGGGCCTATTTGATAGTGAACCGCTGCGAATCTGGCCGGGGCTGCCGGGCTGGGGTGGCCCGGCTGGGCTGGCCGACTGGCTGGTGGGTGCGATTTACCCAGCCAGGGACGCAGCAGTCTGCCCCAAGAGAAACTCAAATAAAGTTAGGCTTAATCCACACCAAACTCCACCACCTCGCCCTTCCACAGCTGCTGCGGAACAATGTGTGAGACGCTTGAAACGCTGGATGCCCCCGATTCTTTGGAGGAGCAAGGACTCCCCCCCCTTCTCTCCTCCTTCCGTCTGCCCACCCCCGCAGCATCCCCTCCTCCACCCCACCCTTGGAACAGGCCAAAAAATGATGAGACACACGTAGTCAGAGGATTAAAAAGTCGTCCATTCACTAAATGACAAAGGAGTTATTACATGCATACCCTTAAAACTTCAATACCAGGCTCAATTCCAATTCACACGAATGCCACGACGCGCCAGGCATGGGGGAAATCATGCCAAGCCAGACAGCATGCCTCTTGGCATCAGGCACGGGGAGTGCCACCGTTCCACAGGGACTGTGTGGGAACAGGGATTCTGAAAACTGAGCTCAGACCCCAGTTAGGAGAGGACAGGTGGCCCCGCACAGGATCAAATGACTTCTTTGTTCCAGCTAAGGACCTTTGTCAAAATTGTTTTGCACTCCTTTTTCCTTTTAGATCCTTTCCATGTGGGCTTCTTGCTCCTTTACCCCACCCCATCTAACTGCTCGCGCTAAAAAGAATGTGGTGGGTTGTGGGTTTGGGGAACTGAAAGTAGCTCAGCCTCGGCCCCGCAGTGTTCAGCAAGGCAAGGGCAATTCATTGAAAACACACGGCACTTGCTTGTCTAAATCCGCTTTTCGGCACTCACTGCAACTTGCCAACCGTGCTTGCTTAGGGAATAAGCGACAGAGGGTCTTGGCGCCTGTCTGCTGTGAAGCGGAGTTGGGGGGGGCGGTCTGCACCACCTCCCGAGGTGGCAGGAAATGGACAGAAAGTTCTAAACCCCTCGCCCTGGCCCAAAGGGAAAGTTTGCTTCCCATGCAAATCACCTCCCCCAAAGTGCTCAGGGTGGCGTGTGCTGAACCCATTTAGGAAAAAAAAAGCGAAGAGGTTTTCTGGTGGTGATGCAGATGCTAACTTTTCCCACCCAGATTTATCAGGAGCAGGCAAAAGCAATTAACGCTCCTCTGGTAATTCGCCCTTGCCTGCCTCCCAGCATGTTTTTCCAATCTTGTCTTCCCTTTCTAGGAGTAGTGATCTTGATATTTACATATTGACATAAGAGTCTTCCAAAAGTTTGAATAAGTTGTAAATCGCACCCTTTTCTTGGCTGCGCACACCCACTTTTTTCTTTTCCCTTTCTTACGGGTAAAGCTATAAACCCCTGCCTGGGCTGATAGGAATTTTATCATTCTGCCCCAAAGCCACGGAAGAAGCTGCCCCTTTAGAATTCCTTTCAAAGACTCATTTTAAGTAACCCCGAGCCTTTCTCATCTCCCCGCTTCAGGGTTGCCGTCTCACGTCCAGAAGCAACACGGTTTCCAAAATGCTAGAACAGAAAAACAAATCTGCATTTTTCTGGAAGGACTGTCGGTGCTCACTTCAGGCTGGTTCCGCCTTCTCAGCCATAAACACAGTTAAGTGCTCAGAATGGGAAGCCAAAGTGAGATAAGACGCCCCGTGTAATTCTTTTTCAGGATATTCAGTTATCTTTATTCTAATCCGAAGCGTAGGAGAGAGGCTAAAAGCTTGAGATGGATCCCGCTCAATACATTCCAGCGAGCGCAAACTGGAATTGATTTACATATTCTACAAACCGCTTTTAAGCCCTTTACAATGACCGGGTGACATCACCAATCACCATTACAGGCAAAGCGGGGAGGGGTAGAAGAGTGGTTGGGGGGGGGCTCGGAAAATCGGCTTCTTCGGTTCCCTTAGGAAAATGCAGCCCCGCCTTCACGCCAAACGGACGGACCTGGACCGGCAACTGCTAAGCCAGCGAGCTCTCCGGAGCACCATCGCAGGGGGCCCCAGGCTGCGCCCTCCCTCTCCGCCCGCCCGGGCAGCCCCCCGAGCTTACCTGCCTCATGTTTAGAATTCCATGACCCATCCGGCAGGGAGCGAGCTGCCTCGAAGCCCACGCCGCGGTCTTCAGAGGGGAAACAGCAAACCCGACAGAAGCCCGCCAGACAAAAGCAACTCAGTGAGATCCACAGGCAGCAAAGAGCACGTTTTCTTCCTTTTTCTTTGATCTGTTGCTACACGCACTCTGCCCAAGACAATGTCAAGTTTCTCAAGCTTTCCTCCCCAGCCTATGAAAAGTCGGGCTCCGGGAAGCGAGGACCGCCTGGCTCTTATTTCAAATCGGGTCTCAGAGACGTCGTAGGTGGCTCGCTCGGGCCCCGGAGGCGCCCCGCCAATCAGGAGGAAGGGGTGGGTCCTGGGAGCCAGGAAGGCTGCCTCCGCGAGGATTACAGAGCTTTCGGGATTTAAATGGCTGGAAGCAGCTGGAAGCACGGCGAAAGCTCCCAAAGTAAAGGATGAGTTAGTTCTATTCTTATCTCGCTGCTCCGGGTCTGCTCAAAGCCTGACTGACTAGCTTCGGGCCTCAAGGCCTTTGCCTTTTAGGAGCGCCCCAAAAGCACGAAAACCTTTGGAAGGCGCACGATTATTTCAGCCAAGGGAGTGCACCATTCAGGACCTGACCATCTTTTTGAAAAGGTTATCTGGCCTCGAAGTCCTGCTTTGGCGTAGCCGCGGGGGAGGAGACCTAATTGTTAGGCAGAACACCTTGGGAGGAGGCCCCGCCCACTTCATTTCCATATAGATGAACTGTACAGCCAGTCTAAAAACAAACAACAACAACCAACAAAAACCAAATCTGGATGGGAGTTTGAACGCGAATCTGGTGAAACGCAACAAAAGACCAAGAATCTTTATCTGTTAAGGGCCCAAGGCATAATTTCAGATAATACTGTTATTAGAAACAGAAACACTGACGTTTCGTGGAAAAGACAGTTTCTTTCTTTCCTTTTTTTTTTTTTTTTTTGAGAAGACCGTTTCTAAGGTAAGTATCTACCTCTCACTACGGCTCACCATACCAACAGAGCTGATCTGGGGAACTTACTAGCAGGGACCGGCTGGCCATCATCTCAGCAGAATGGCGTCTTCTAAACTTAAACCCAGACTTAAAAAGAATTCCCAAAGTCAGCTTTCTTTACTCCACATAAACAGTAACTTCATTCAGTTCTGAGCCAGTGTGATTTCAATGCAAATCTACCTTTGGATTTCAGAAAAGCGCAAGGCCAGCAAAGACCACTTTGTGTGGCACCAGTGGTATATTTTCTTTCCCAAAGAAGGGGCCACAATTTTGTGAGACTAATTTTTAAAATTCTTGTGTCAGGGGCAAAAATAACACGTTAGCAGATCATGAATGGGCCGTTCCTAGAATGTCATCTCTCAGTAGGTAGGAACTCTACCCAGTTCTCTGAAAACTCAGCAGCCCAATATCTCGACCCAGAAGTCCATACCCACCCCAGCCCCCCACCTTAGTAGGCAAAGGGCCCACCTGGGGACACAAGCTGTCTTGTACTTATTTCAGAGCCCTTTGTTGGGAACTAGAACTCAGCACTATTGCCATTTGGGGTCAGATCATTCTCCGCGGAGGGGGCTGTGTTGGCATTGTGGGAGGCTGAGCAGCCGGTCTAGGCCCATGAGATGCCGGTGGCATTCTCACAGCTGTGACAAACCATAATAACCAATTACCAAATGTCCTACAGGGGCGGGATGGGTAAAATCACGCAAGACTGAGAACCGTGGATGTGCCAGCTCTGAAATATTGGCTCTCCAGCTACAGGGTGCAAGGAAGCTTCTGGGGAGACCGTTAAAAAATGCCAATCCCAAACCCTCTGCTCCTTGTCCAAGAGAATCCGATCTACTGGTTTAAGGAGGAGCCTGGGAATCTGCATTTTTGTGTGTCCCCTCGCCCCCATCAAAGGACTCTGATTCACTTGGAGATACACTGCACCTATTCCTGCCCTAGGTGTGCCCACAGCCCCAGGACCTAGGGAGCTACCCAGAGCTGCTGCCGTTCGGTATCAGTCGGGTTAAATCCCAAGGTACAACTCATCTCATTTCTCACCCTCAACAGAAGCTTCTCATAACTGCCTTTGCCTTCTGTGACCATCATCTCAAAGGTAAACATGAGCTGGGAATCTCCTCTCGCCTTTTCTGAGTTTCATCCGTCTTTCTTCACTTTTAGCTCACTCCCCTACCATCCTCCAAGGTCACCCCTCTTCTGTGCTTTCCCAACGCCCAAGACAAATTAATCCCTTCCCTCCTCTATGCTCATAAAGCCATTCATAGACACCGGGTGGTGTGCTGGTAAATGTTTAACAACCAACCTGCAGGGGAAAAAAAAAAGCCAAGATTTGTAGTAGCCTTTGTCAATTTCCATGCTGTAAATACTCCCTCCTTTCCCACCATGAGGACACTGAACACAGAGTTGGAAAAGAGCGGTGCCAAATCATGACATGGTAAGCACCAGCTTGAGCAAACCACGATGGTCACTTCCATGGGATACTGTCATCCTCCACTCTTGAGTCTCTCTCTCCTATTAGACTGTAACACTCTCAAGGGCAAGAATGGCTTCCCATTCATCTTCACAACCCCAGCCACTCACACTGTACCTGCCGTGCAGTAGGTGGTCGACCAGCGTGCGTTGGGAGAGAACGCAATCCAATGGGCAGCTTCCCCAAGACATGGGCCCCCATCTGCCTGCCGCCACTGCCACAGCAAGGAAGGGAAAAGACGCTCGTAGAAACTCTGACAGTTACCTTTTTACCATAATGTCATATCTATTCTGTATTTATGAAAACAATACGCACAATGTCATCCACCGTCCTACTGCTCCCACGTCTGAGCGCCATAAACAGACCAGAGTGAAAGTCTAAAGGCCAGCCTTCTAAAACAGAACCTCAACTTCATGGACGTATTTCTGAGACGCCACGCTTTTTGTGTTTTTGTATGAAGGCATCCCACGCTTTTGCACCCACATACTTGCACATCCTATCAGCTATAGATTCCAAAGATCTCCAGGAGGAATATATACAATAATCCCCGGGAAGTCAATGGGAGGGCATATCCACTGGGAAGAAAGACAGTAACTGGTGATGGCCATCTCTACCATCTTCTCACTATGCACTAAGGCAGGAACGCTAATGGTGGTGTCATTAACAAACAGCACTTACGAGTGCCTACTGGAGCCAAGCATGTTGCCAGGTTTTTCACAAATGTGTGCCATTTACCCTCCACCAAAATACCAAAAACTAGACATCACCACTGTTATGCTAAGAGGAATAGACAAGATCATCAAGGCAAGGTAAATAACCCAAGATCTTCTTGTTATAAATTGCAGTACCAGGAAGCAAGTGTTTGAGATCAGTATAACTCGGCTTTTTGTTGTAAAATGTGCTGCTTCCAGAAGTGTCCAGAAACACCTAAAGAAAGTGGATAGTGTAAAAAAATGAAGTCTTTTTCATTTATAAATAAACAAATACAATTTTTTTGGACTTTTTTGTATAATTTTTAAAGCTTCTAATGAAATAAATGGCCCCTTGGTGGTTGTCCCTAAGTGAGCATTAGACCCACTTATTGGGAACAGCATAAGCGAGTAAAGTGACACAAGCACAGAAACAGTGTGTGCAAATTACAGCTGAAGCAATGTTGTGGTATTGACAGATATTCCATAAAAGGTAGCCTAGACCAAAAAAAAAAAAGAAGAAGAAGAAAGAAAGAAAGGAAGGAAGGAAGGAAGAAAGAAAGAGAAGAAAAAGTAGTCTAGACAACAGTCCTCTGTGGTCATGTGCAGGTTTGGGTATAAACACACCTACACAGTAAATGTCACATAGGAGCCCAGGCAGGTGGCCCTGGGCAGGCCCTACTGGACATGGCTGGCCGTGAGCATGCCTCCTCACAGGAGAGCTAGCAGGACCTGGGCTGCCTCGTCCTGTGTTCTGCTGAAGTCAAAGCCTATGGGATTAGCATTTGTGTAAGTAAATCATGGTTGGCTATCAGTAACTTTGTAGAGTTTATTGAAATATGGGTCAGGACACGTCATTAAAAGTCAGTGAACCAAGCTGAAATTGGCCAGTCAGCCACCTGGGAAGTGTGCTTGGTGCAAGTGCAGTCTCTGGGGTCTGTGAAAAGACAGTATTTCCTCTCCCGCAGAAGTTCCAGAAACCTGGTTGCCTTATACTTAACAGCGGCTGGAGGAACACTGTACTTGAGGTAATGAGGGAAGGTAGTTCACATCGATAACAATACAAAGCCCAGCTTAGGAAAAAAAAAAAAAAAAAGAAAACCCCACCTATAATTCTTACAGGAGGTCACAAAAATGCAACAAGTCTCTACTCAGTGGGCGTAGGTACTCCTTAAGCTAGTTTCTTTGAGTTGGTTGATGGCGGCAACATGGTATACCAGAAGCATGGGTCATAGATGCCATTTGGAGTCCATTTTTGGTGTCCATGTGGCTGGTAAGCTCGCTGCTGGACTCCAAGTAAACCAACTGACATCTTTAACCCCAATTTTCAGGGGACGATTGGGCAAATTATGGACTGAAAGTTTGTGCTGCCCCAAAATACATATGCTGAAATCCTAACCGTAATGTGATGGTATTAGGAGGTGGGGGGCTATCGTTGGAAGGCGATTAAGTCATGAAGGTGGAGAGTCATGAACCACACTAGTCCCTTGTGAAAGAGATCGCAGAGAGCTATCTCCCCCTTTGCCTTGGGAGGACACAGAAAGAAGACAGCTGTCTGAAGCAGGAAGTGGGCTCTTATTTTCCACCCAATATGCCCACACCTTGATCTGGGACTACCAGCCTCTAGAACATGAGAAATAAATCTCTGTTGTTTATAAATCCCCTAGTTTGTGGTGCTTTGTGTTAGCAACCTGGTGGACCAAGACAGATAAAATCAGGAGCGAGAAAGTTTTTTTATAACTCTTGATGTCTTAGTGTTTCGGATGACAAGATTCTGGAAAGAAGGAAAGAAATCTGTGAATACAAAAATGGAAGGAATAGACACACCATGAGAAATGGGTTTGGAAAACGTACGTTAAGGGCAGACTTGCAGACAGGACAGAGTCATGGTTTTCAATACATTGAACTTAATATCTCCTCACTGAAAAATTAAGAAGTTAAAACAAATCATGCTATTTAAAATTTTAATCCTAACTTAACTATTTAATAATTCTCTGCTTTTAGAGGTGAAATATTTTGACATTTCCTAGTTTTTGTTGATGGATTAAATATGGCTGATCCTTCTT